TTGTTTCATTCAGATTTTGAGCCCTCCATCTATTGTTTGGACAGACAAGTAGTGGCTATTTCCTATGAAATGTAATGAGGAGAACCACAAATAATCACGCCCCATTTCAAGCGAAACATCTTGGGTTTAATCTCGTAACACTTGCCCATTTAAAATTGCATTTTACCTTATTCTGAACCACTTTGTCTCAGAAGCAGAATAAGTGGCACTGATAAAGAAAAATAAGCGCAGCCCACTTCGCGGTCCAGGTATATCTGCGTTAAGGGAATTGAGTATGCAAGGGTTACGATTGGAAAGACGCAATTTTTCGCCAATTTATTACCATTGGCCTCAGGCTTGTGCCAAGTGAAGCATTATTACTACAGTTACTGAATGCCTGCTTTTGCTGCACTTTGTCAGGCTGCTCATACAGCCCTGCGTAAATCTTTATTTCACAAAGGTCACATTTCCCCCCCCCCCGCGCTGACAAATTGGAGTGAAACTGAGCTCATACACTGAAGGAGCACTGCATGCATCATACCGCTGCTGTGAAATTTGCACGGGTACATTCACGTGTGGTTCAATTTGATGGTTATTGGGGAATGGCATTTCTGACCTTGTAAGTTTTCTTTTTAAATCTCTGTCGGGTGAATTATCACACGCGTCGCTACGTGTGTTTCCATGGTGTAATCATGGTATGTCAATAAAACACGTAACAAGCTCACAAACCAATAATGATAGTTCCCGTGTCAGCTACAGTCAACATTATTGTGTTTTTATTTCGTTTAAACAATGAATCGTATATATTTCGGGAGGTTACATAGGATATTTAATGGCAGGGAATAAGCAAACATATACACACAGCATATATATGGTACATACACAGTGTATATATAAATGCAAAGTCAAAATACGCGATGCCAAATAGAGCAAATTCAGTCCTAAACAATAGTGAGAATTGCTTAATTTTCCACTTTGTGGGTGATGGATGATCAGTGCAAGGACCTGCATTGTCAGACAATAGGGGCAGCAGAGGAGGAGCAGCAGCCTCACATCGTTGGGCAGCTGATGCGAGGGGTTAGGAAGAGGTAACATTGGGAGAGGCAAGTAGGAACAGGGCGATGTAATTGTCACAGACGGTGAGTGACTTTGTAGTTGATGCGCACGACAGCTGGTGGAGCGACTGCAGGGTTAGGCTAATGTAGTCCATTTCGCAAGTTCGACAAGGAAGCAAAAGATCATCTGAAACACAAACTATTTTTCACTCCTCCCACAGGCTATGAAGCTGATTTTCGAGATGCTTTGCAATGCAAATGCTGCATGTCTGCAACAACAATGCGTTTAGAATATTGATGTTTCTGTTTGTTTTGCCACGGACAGCCGTGCGTGAAGTAACAACTCGTGCACTTTTGGGGTCACGGACTTGAGAATGGATATTTTTTTTATTTCGTGGAAATCACACTCGCGGTGAATGAATAAAAGTGCACCTGACGAGGACATGTCACTTTGTGGAAAGACTACTGCGGGGGAAAATATAATTTCAATTCGGGGCTCCGTTGCAGAGTAGAATAACATCACAGGCTACAAATAATGCACTGCCATCATCATTAGTAAACTGAAATATGCGTAATGTAATTTTGGGAAAATAGCGTTTTGGATCCAAAATAGAAAAAGGAGGCCTTTTGCTCAAATCATCTTATTTCGATTTGAATCTTTGAATTTGAAGGCAGTGTTTGAAAATGACAGTGGCAGTAATGTGTTTTTTTTGGCTGATGGAGAAAAACTAACAAAGCAGTGGCTCCTAGGAGGAGGAATATGCAAGATAGGTGACCAAAAGGGAGGTAGAATGTATAAATTATGGAGTGGGTGTCTTGGAGTGAGATGACATGCATTTGCACAAAATCGGAAACTACGACGTTAGAATCAGGGTGCTTTCGTTCTGCATTGCATTGAGAGTGTTTGATAATATAATTAGTACCAAGAAACATTTCTTCCATGGTCTTGCAGATATGTTAATATTGGGAATAGTAATGGATATTTAAATAGTACCATATTCTTTGGGTCTTTCGGTAAAGTCACGTAGATAGGTTCAAAGAAAATAACAAAAAACTACGACGTTTCGATCGCAACGCAAGCGGTCGTCATCAGGTGGAGAAGAAAGAGGGCTAAGCCTCTAAAGGCAAACTGTTTATACGGGTTTAAAATGGGCGTAGCCCAAGTGTCAGAACGGAGTGGGCGTGGCACAAGGGCCCTGGGGCAGCATGGGCGGAGGAGCTTATGTTAATGTCAGGGATTAAAAACGGTAGGCTGCTACATGTAGGACGGAGGAGGTTATGTTAATGTGATGGGGTTAAAAAAACTGGTGCTGAAATGGCAGCATTACAGCCAGTTATGACTTAAACGGATTGATAACGTCCTTCCAGTGATTGATCAGTTTGTACCCATCTTCTCGGTTTGAATTGTCTGTTTGTTTATATGGATGGCTTCATGGACGAATCTTTGTTGATAGCCAGTGGGTTTGCAAAGTACCTTCGTCTTAGAGAAATCAATTTTGTGTGAGCCAACCGCATTAAAACAATGATCAGCCACGGCCGAGGTATTGGTCCTACCATGTGTCAGATCTGCCTTATGTTCACGACCACGGTCCGAGACATGTCGCTTAGTTTTCCCAATGTAACTACTGCCCTAGCCACAGCTTAGTTTGTAGACTCTGGGGTATTGCATGTCAGGGATCACATCCTTCACAAATGGGACCAGATCACAAATTTTATGTACTGTGTTAAATCCCACTCAAATATCTCTCTTCTGATTCATGGCAACTTTGTTTTGATCATGCAGGAATCATCAATCTATTTGTACATTAACAAGCGTGACACACGCCGCTTAGGACACTGAACTTGGAATGTAAAATTAACGAGGTTCCACTTTGCGTCACGGCGATTGAAACAATAGGCAAGGTTCTTTGACTCTTCTTACACCCAGCAGTGAAACTGGGTGGACGTGCAGGGAATCAATTAGTGGATGTTTTGTGGTGGGGTAAAGTGTGGGTTGTTCTGACCGGTGTGACTGATAGGCAATATGGTCCCGTTTGCTAATTTACATATATATTACCTAAAGTATTGTGAACTTGGGATAATTGTGTGTTAACTAGATAGTAATGCACTAGAAATTCGGTGAACCAGATATGAAGTCCTTTAACCACATGGCTCATTGACCCAATCCAAAGTGTAATAGTAAAAAAAAAAATTCTAATAAAATGTACAGTAGTTCGTAACGGCACCTTTTATCGGTCTATTTAATAATGTCACTTTTAATTGGCATATCAAACCCACATGCTTGGCATGAACTTGTGGCCCAATCAATTAAAACCGTGGCTTTGCTTGCGATTTAAATGGCAAGGTGGGGGGGGGGGGGGTGGCCCGTTTGAATGTAACGCTGCGCTAGAGACGGAGTGCTTTTGGTGGAATAGCGAGAGAATTGCGCGCACACACACACACACGCAGTGACGGAAAGTCACATCGGAGATTGAAAACGGCTAATGCACCCTACAAACCACTAATCCCTTGGTAATCCCCGTTCGTGCCGAAAAACCAGGCCATATTGCAGATATGCGCATTGCAGAGCAAATACACATGCACTTTTATTTTGCTGTTGATTTTACATCTTGCGGCGCGTGCGATGCTAAAAATACGCCATGCAAAGGCGCTTTCTGATTGAGTGTCCCTGTATCGGACACTGAACGGATTCTTGAGCAGTGTTGCTCTCTTGTTCCGTTGCAGCGCTTAAAACGTGCGTGCAGTCGTACACACGCTCACGATGAGAACGTCAACGTATATCCCCAGTCAAGGTTTGGTGAAGTCGGGTGAAAGTGAGAGATTGTCGATGGTGAATTTTGAGCATCGATGACGAGACAGCGGTGTGTTTACCGCATTTGCCGGACTATGTGAATGTCTTCAGCTGACCAAACATTGCACACAAAGCTTGCTCACAACCTTAGGATACCGGGTGATGTCTATACGCAGAAATAAATGGCGCTTTTAACAATCGCATTTTAATGTGACATTTACACTCGTACATAATACACAATCGAACAAAACGCATGAGTTATCACTGCAGTAAAGTACAGTATTTATCCACACTGATAATGAGTTTAAGCGCTTAAACCGAGCCATTATCTAAAAAAAAACAGATTTCTGTTGCATTCATCATTGTTCCAATTTTCTTTTTCATTTAAACATATTGCTTTATGTTTTCCGTGTTATTTTTTTCTTAAGACTGTATAATTAATACTACTTAATGAAAATTACACTTCTTAGTGAAGCGATACAAGTCAAGATGTCACACCAAGTACAATCCATCTAAATTGATGCCGTTTCTTTTATATTTTTCTCGGATCTTTACTAGAATCGGGTTACCGGCATCAGATCTGTGCTGTTATCAAGACCCTCCTGACGGAATATATAATTTAAAATACATTTTTAATGAACGTGTGACAAAAGATTGCCACACACTCGTGGATTCTTGTCATTGCTGTGGTAGTTCTCTAGACGTTTCCCATGATGTCACTACAGTTAACTTATAGGAATCCCGTAGAAATATTAGCAGCATACATGTTGTGTACTGAAAATGTATAAAACCACGTCTTGTCGGATCCTTTACAAAATCTCCTACCCTACACATGAAACACTCCAGTATTGTAGATATCCTCATTGGTTAAGCATACCCACCACATGTGTCACGCTATTCCATGCCTTTGCGATAACCTCGGTAATGACCGTCTCAACAGCAAAACAAAAAGAACGGCAAGGACAAACTTGAAAACCCATTGCAGAACGAGCACATTGCTGCTGTCGATTTAGTTTGTAAACATCCCGTCGGTCTCGCTCGGCAGTTAGTTGTTGCTGGCGTCGAGCGCACGCACGCACGCACGCGACTCACGAGCAACGCACCACCGTCCGTTCACGATGTCCGCTCTTCACCCCCACTCGGGGTAGGTGGCGGAGGGGGGGGGGGGAACTTACCTGTAACTCTCGCTCTCGCCCGGGGGGGCAGGTGCGTAGCGCCGACGCTACATTTCCCCCCGGTGTTTTTTCTTTTCTTCTATCCGGAGCAACGGCAACAAACAAACAAAAATTGCGGTCGAGCGGAACTCCGGAGGTGTATGGACGGCGGGAGGAGCGAGCCGCAAACGCAAAAAAAAATCACAACGGGCTCCGGCGACGTGGAAACGGCCGTTCTCCCGCAAAGTCTTACGCGCTCGAGCTAGCCAGCCAGCCAGAGCTAGCAGCCACTTCCATTGACCATCGCGACTAATTCGATTGAGCCTGGCACTCAATCAATGAAGGGAGGGACCCGTCGGGGCCGTGCGCTTCTGCGCGCCTTTGTCGTTGGCGGTGGTGGGGAGAGAGGGGGGGGAGCCAGCCAATGGGCATTGCTGGCAAAGTCCTTCACCGTATTGTTGTGTGTGTGCCGCGGTTTCTTCTTCTTCTTCTTCTTTATTATTCTTTTTTCACCCCGAGGCAACACCCAGAACCCGATGCCACGGGACTCGCATGATAGAGTATGTTTGCATGTGCGGTGTGTATTCGCTTACAGTGTGTGTGTGTGTTTTAAAAGGAGCGGTGTTTTAGTGAAATATACTGCTCTACTTTCCTGTTCTGATGGAGCTGGCTCGATCCTTGGCCACGTGTAAAATACCAGCCCGAAGTGACATTTGAACCCGTCCTGGGCATCCCTTAGGTTGATTCAGCCTCAAAGGAGTACCTGGTGTTGTGTGAACTTTAGCACACGGGGCAGGCAACTCTGGTTCTGGCTACAACTGTCTACTTGTCTGCCATGACCACCTTGTTAATATGCGCTTGCAAGCAGAAACTGCCTCTGCGCGATATTCAGTGTGGGTAAAATCTTTGCGTGTTACGTTTAAAAGCAAGAACTGTGTGTGTTTTTCATATTCTTGGTTCTTTCGGTAAGTCACGTAGAAGGGAAATTAAAAAATAATAAAAATGAAACATAATATTATAAATGTTTTATTTTTATGATATTTTTATTATTTCCCTTCTACGTGACTTTACCGAAAGAACCAAGAATATGAATCCCTGCAGTGACGAAAGCTTTAAATCGAAAAATGTATGTTTCTTTTAAGAAGGCTAGGTTCATTGGGGTGGCTGTGTAACCTGGTGGTCAGCACGTTCACCAGTGGACCAGTTTGCATAGAGCTGGCAATTGATTTCTCACGCAAGTCACCTGGTTACAGTTAATTTGTGTCGTAAGTTGTTTTACGTCTACATTTGTACTTTTGTACATCAATATCTTTGACAGTTGAACGCATGGGTGGTAAGTGCATTGATATTCCTTGCACAGTAGTGTGTAAAGTCTACTATACCGAGAATCACTTAAATTCACACTGATCTAAAAGCTAAGGCTTTCTTAGCGTGTCATTGTATATTTCTGAATGGTTCATAACCCACAAAATGAAATGAGATTGACGTGCATTTAAAGACCAAGTAACAAGACAAGTAAATGCTTTGGCTCGCAGGTCTTGGCCAGTGCTGGAAGATAAAAAAAAAAGATCATAACGATGGTGGTGATTGAAGGGTATCAGCCAGACAAAGCCTGTGAAGTCAGCGGGGAGGCAGAGGGGGGTGGATGGGACGATCCACTGGCATGGAAGAGAAGTTCTGAGAGGGTCACTTCATTTGCATCATTCCAGATGGAATCCGCACGGCGATTCACAATAGACTCTGCAGCGGCCGCTATTGTTCGCCGTGCCACGGGGTGATGAGAGAGGGTAGGACCCCTCCATTATTATAGCAACGAATAATATTGATTCGGAATTTTCCTTACAATGCAACTATATTATTACGAAAAACTGTGATTGTTTTACATTCGTATTCGTACCTGTTCAACTGTGTTTTTGTAGTTGTGCGATTGTAGATGTGTCATTGTAGCCTAGCAGTTAGTGCACTGCACTGCAAAACCGGTGGTGACGTGTGGTTGATTCCCACTCACTGCTAACAGCAATGACAATTATCTGAACCGGTCCTGGACCTCCCCTCGGTTGTCTCAGCCTCAAATGAGTACCTGTTGTGAAGTGTGAACATCGCTACTTGGGAGACAAAGGCGTGGTGCTGGCCACCCACCCCCTTCAACTGCCGTGCCAGCCTTTATAGGTGCTCGCTCACAGCACTTGGCCCCAATGGGATCTTTGTCGCAATGTTTCATTGTACAAACAGTATGTGTTGGTGGTAGGTAATTAAGTCTTCACATCCGGGGATGAGGGGGGGGGGGGCACGGCATATGTTTGAGAACGGATGTATGCATTTGTTTGCGTGTCATGGGGAGTGGGGAACGGTGGTGCAGTGGTTAGCGCACTGCGTAACGACCCCGGCGACCTGATTTCGATTCCCGCTCGTGACCGACGTCACTAAGGAATATCTGAACTGGTCCTGGGCCTCCCCTAGGTCAACTCAGCCTCAAATGAGTGCCTAGTACAGTGTGGGAACATCGCTACTGGGGAGACAAAGGCGATCGCGCATGGTGCTGGCCACCCACCCCTTCGCGTGCCGTGCCGCCCTCCATAGGTACTACTCGCTGACAGCACTCGTTCCCAACAGTCTGTCGAGGCTGTACGGAGGGGATCTTTGTGTTTGTCATGGGGAGCGGCGGGGTAAGGTTTATCGCACTGTTTTATGATCCCAACGGTCAACAAGATTCGACTTCAGCTCATGGCCAACTCCATTTGCCAACTGCAACCAGTATAGCCTTGCAGCAGTACTGTGTTTGGCGCTCGTTGCAGAGTGCTCACGGTCCGAATTCGGCAGCTGCCACGTTGGCGAGATGTTATTTTCCTCGTCTGGCGTACAGGAGGTCGTGGGTATGATCCTGACACTTACGCCTGTATATTTGTAGTTTGCATGTCTCTCTCTACGTGGTTGCATGCATCTTTCTCCGGCTCCTCCGGTTTTTCTCTCCACATTTAGAAACATGCTTTTAGAGTATTTGGCTGCTATAAATTTCCGTACGATAAGCCACTTTGTTGAGCTATCATTTGTGGTCAGTTTTCTTATGATAGATAGCTACAGAGCACAGTGGGCCGTACCTGGTAAAATAAAAAAGTGTAGTTTTTGTTTTGTTTAATAGCATGTGTGAACCGTAAAAAAAATAATACGCGCCATCTGCTTCACAGTGGACTTAAAAGATCCCTAGATGGAATTTGTAAGGGTGAGCCATCGTGTGCCGGCGTCACGATCCAAATTTGAAGATTACCCGGAAATTAGTCAGTTGGAATCTACGTAGCAATTATCGCCCCCTCCTGCGAGAACTTGGCAGGACACTCGAGGGGGAAAAAAAGGCATGTGAGACTCGGTGAGGCTTTCCTGGGCAAGCAAGCATAATAGATTAATATAATTAGCACCGAAAAGACATTCGGTTGAGTGTTTTGCACGCCCCCACCATCGCTTGTGTGTGTCTTCGAGCTATAAGTGGTGGTCACTAAATCTATATAAAAACTCCTTTTTGTGTTTATTTTGTTGTCCTTCCCCCGCACGTCCGACGAGCACAGTTGGATATGTACGGTGCAAAAGAAGTTAAATGTACATACATACCACATTCTCCCAACAGCCTGTATGGCCAAGCAAGGGGCTTTTGTGTATGTGTGTGACATTGACATTGGCATCAACCTTTTTGAGTGAGGAAAATCAATGTTGGCATTATGCTGTGTTTGGAAAAGCCAGGGTCCATTTGAGTTAAAAGCTCACCTTACCCTTTCCTTCTAACTCCTGGGGTTAGACGTATACACGTTGGGCTTGTGCGGACGGAGAAGTACCCGTGATGTACTACGACGGCTCACGCTTGGCCGTGTTCCAGCAAGGCAGGAGTTGGCGAATTGGTTGTTATGGACCCAGATTTCTGCTGTTCCATGGTATTTTTTCTCATTGGCTAATCCCAAATTCATGGGTGTACTATCATTCACGAATATTACGGTCTACTTACAGAAACATACATACAGGCAATCCTCGGTTTACGTGCTTTTGTGGTACGCCATTTTATTTAGACCTTTTATTGACAAACGCGAGGCAGTTTCCAGAATAAACGGCATCTGCAACGCGACATATGCCCCGCTGGCCTGGCACCGTGACCCAGTGGCATTGCCAGCAGCCATTGCGGTATGATAACTCGTGTGCTGTACTGCACAGGATCTTTGTCGCGTGTACACCAGCACTCTCCCCTTTGTCTGGCATCTCTCGTTGTGATCGAACACTGTCACGTTTACTTTTATTGCGTCCACCGCTTTCGTATGTCCTAATGTATTTCTTTGTTTTCATTTCATAGGAAGTATATTAGAGTTTACATGTTTTTTTAAGTATTATATTGTATTCTTAGCTCTTTCGGTAAAGTCACGTTGAACGGAAACAATAAAATAATAAAATATATATAAAACAATAAAAAAATTCTCACGACGTTTCGACCATAACACAAACGGTCATCATAAATCAAAATGTATGTATTATATTGTGTTTACATGTATTGTGTTGATATAGGCTAGGATAATATACGTGATTATGTCTGCGAGTGTGAGTGAAATCCCCTAACCCCCTCCTTTCCCATTATTTCTTAAGGTAAAAATTGCTTTTGACGTACACGATTTTGAGATACGCGCGCTTTTACAGGAACGCATCTATCGCGTATGTCAAGGAGTGCCTGTTGTGGGGAGCGGTAGTGTAGTGGTTAGTGCGCTGCGCTATGAACCCAGCGAACCGGGTTCGATTCCCACTCACAGCCAACACCGGTGACGATTAATTGAACCGGTTCCGGGCCTCCCCTAGGTCGACTCAGCCTCAAATGAGTTCCTGGTTTGGTGTGTAAACATCGTCACTGGAGATACAAAGGCGGTTTGTGCGTGGTGCTGGCCATCCACCCCCTCGTGTGACGTTCCGGCCTTCATAAGTGCTCGCTAACAGCACTTGCCCCTCCAGTCTGTTACAGGCTGCACGGGCGATCTTTGTTTTTGTCTTTGTATGTGAATAGAAGGAGGCGGGATGCTTTCGTAGTGTAACAGTTCTCACGCTGCACTTGCAATCCAGAGATTTAGTGGTTCCATCTCCTGGCACGGATTTTGAAGCAACGATGCAAGTTTATTCAACCCCCTGGCCTCTGTCCATCAAGTAGTGTCAATGGATACCCTCCAGTTCGTTGATCGGCAGATCGTGTGTGGTGGGATGAAGTGGGGATATTCCCACCTCTTCCAATATGTTTGGCCAGCATGGAAGAGTAGGCCAATTACCCTCTAGAGCTAGTTTTAGTTGGAGGCCCGTCTACCAGTAGTGGTGTGAGTGAGCAAATTCAGTTGCTGCATCTTTATCTGTGATGTATAGTACGAGGCATGTAATGATGCATCGATTAATCAACAACTC